CTCTGTATTCTCATCCTTCTTCAGAAGGGGCTCAGATTACCCACGTTACCAATGCAGCTTCATCTCCCAGGCGAGATGCTTTGCTGCGCCGTGCTGCAGACCCTGCTCACTTGGCGATGTCTGCCACTGGGACCTGGCTTCCCCTGAAGCTGCCTTTCCGTAAGACGAAGGCAAACTTCAAGTTTATTGCTCGTTCCATTCATAACGAGAAGTTCCCCTGACTTGCCAAGCTGCTGAATCAGCTCGGGCACCTCACCCTTGAGTCAGCAAAGCCCGAAATAGAAACTCGCTCTGTTTCCGAGCACAGGAAGCACCACTGTTGTCTGCAAACACAGCCACATCCAACATGGTTTTTTTATAACTCCAGCTCCTCACTGGAGGAACTTGAATGACATCCTTAAAAACAAAACAAAGCAAAACTGTTTTCTTACTTGCAGTGGGGAAGCTCCGATCGGTATGAATGGAGCTGCACAGGGTGGAAGCACTGAGGAGCGAGCAGTGGGAGGACAAGTGGCAGGCAGGGAGGCCAGCCAGCATCAACCCCCAGCATGGCTACAGCTGCTCCGGGTGGTCAGAGCTGGGGACAAGGGACAGCCAGGCCGGAGCAAAGCCCCAGCCATTGAGGAGTGGTGGCAGAAGCTGAGGAGCTGATTGGAGCTCAGCTGTGGAGATGTCCGTCTGAGATGCCCTGAGCAGAGCAGAATTTCCCTACCAGACCACGGCCATAAAATAGCTAAAAGCAGTGAACACGACCAACACTTGCATTCAAGGGGTGTAGGCTTACTTAGCTGTAAAGTCATCAGCAGGACTTCCGTGAGTAGGTGGCAGGCAGTGAGAAGCCACGTACAACCAGTCTGTATGTGCTGCACTGGGGAGGAGTTTCTATGACTCCAAGTCAGGCCACTGAGAAATATAATCCCAGTGTTAATTCACATGTTTTCCCTTCTCAAGAGGCTGAGCTCATGTTTTACCTTGCAGATGCACCATTAACCATTTCCAGCACACCACAAGAGAAAAATGGCAAACAACACCTTTCTGTTATCGCAGCTCACAAATTTGGACACAGAATCATCATACAGTCATCACAGAATGGCCTGGGTGGAAAAGGACCACAATGCTCGTCCAGTTCCAACCCCCTGCTATGTGCAGGGTCACCAACCAGCAGACCAGGCTGCCCAGAGCCACATCCAGCCTGGCTTTGAGTGCCTGCAGGGATGGGGCATCCACAGCCTCCTTCACTTTCTGTGGGAAGAATCCATATGCATAAGGGAGCTCTGCTGCATGGGAAGGATCTCAGAGGACATATCAGCCATTCAGGTTCCCAATAGGCAGTGTCCTCTGAGCATGGCACTTGGGGCAGGATGTTCCTGCATTACTGTGGAAGAAATGATAGAGATTTGAGAAAAAATACTGTCATTTCTGCAATGCGATGTAGAACTCAATTCTGTCATTCTCTGTCTTCTGCAACGACACGATTGCACCTTGCAGCACGTCTTGTGTTTGATGCTTTGGACAATTCAGCTGAAAAGAGGTGGGGAAGAGAATGTACAAGCACAATCATGGCCTTATGCAATCCTCTTGTGCACACTGCATGGGTTTTGAAGAAAAACCTGCTGCAAATCCACCAGAAATCCCAGCTCTGGGCCTGAGTGCCACAGAGAATTACACAGCTTAAACCTCAGTGCAACATTTGCTGTGTGCACTGGGCCCTTTTGTGAGCGCAGGTTTCTGAGGATGAGGGAATCGTGGCGTGCTGCTGTCCCTGAGCATTCCCACCTCCTCACACAGCCGCTTTATCCTTCCAAGCTCTGAATGTCGCAGTGTATTTTAACTGCAAATCTGTTCTCCTGTGGCGTGGGTGCCAGAATCGTGGGGGAAAAAAAAACCAAGAGAGAGAGATAGAGATCCGTGGCAATTTTCTGTATTTATTCTGCCCAGAAAAGATAGGAGAGAGGCTCCTGCTCAGCCTCCTCAGGAGAGGAGGACCTGCTCAGCTCTGTGCAGGATTTCATGGGCTGGCTGTGGCCTTCTGGGCACCCAGGTGGCACATGATGTCCTCTGCTCCCCTGGGGCAGACAGGTCTATGTGGCAGTGCTGCACGCTCTGCCAGCCCACAGCACTGATGAACGCTTATTTCTGTGACAATTTCTATAGGCAGACATTCCATAAGCTTGGAAAAGCACGCTTCTACTGTCCTGAAACAGTTTATGTTTGCCCAAAACTTCACTTCGTTGCATCTGAAAGCAGAGCAGGGACAGGTGTCTCTGTGTCCATAGGGCAAGGTGGGAAGAAAATGATGCTGCAAACACGAATGCACAGAGCTTTGGTGGAGATGGTGACCCTTGGATGGGTGAGCTGGGGAGCAACAGGTACTGAATTTATATTGAAAAGTGAAAGATGGTGGAGTGAGAAGCTACAGAGTCTGGCAATGACCAACTCGATGCAGGTAGAATCTCAGAACGGGGCCCTAATCCTTTTATAAACAGGGAGTTGGTTCATGGGAGTACTGACAGCCACACGTGATAAGCAGTCATCAAACAACCCCTGTGCTCAGTGGCACAAACCGAGCTCTGAACGGCACAGGCAGAAAACCCATCACCTCCACAGGCTTTGGGGACACCAAAGGGTTCCTCCAGCCTGCAGCTCTGGGGGCTCCATGGAGGATTTGCACCCACAAGCAAGGCTTGGGCTGCATTGGGTGGGTCAGGACAGTTGTGCTGATGGCCAAGGGCTCGTGCACCCTTCAGGCCCTTCCAGCCCAGGCTGCCCAGCCCCTGCTGTGCTCAGGTTAGTCATGCTAAGCAGGCTTTTTCCTGCCTGCTGATTCCTCCTCTTTGACTCTCCTTCTTTCAGTTTTGGCTCTGTGGAAGAGCAGTGAAAATACCCTGTTACTCTTTGCCGGCTGTTCAAGTAACACAAATTTATTAAACCTCATTTCGTGATGCCCCAAAGGCACAAAGGGTGGTGAGTGCCGTGCTTTAATTTCAGATGCCCCTTGTTAGCAGAGGAGGAGCTTCCCGTGATCTTCCCAGTCACTGACAGGACTCCAAGGAGAAGCGGGCAGGTGATGGTCACACCTGGACCATCAAAGAAACGCACCTCACGTCAGCCCCTGAGCCATGGAAGCACTTAATGAAGAACCTCTCTTAGTCAGGATTCTCACTTCCCCTCCTTGAAGCGCCCAGCTCAAACCCCAGGACTGGGCTCATCGCAATGCAGGTGTGCTGGGTTCTCACCTGATGTTCCATCCCACCTTGTCTCCTCCATGCAGAGCTTCTGCAGGGCAAGGAAAGCTCCAGCAGTCTTCTGAACAAGTGGGAGAGTCGATCCATTTATTAGCAAAACAGCAGGATGAGCTGGATGGAGGTGTCTGGGGTCTGAATGCGCAGCGAGGAAGAGCTGCCTTTAAGCAGCTTTGTTCGCACAATAGATTCTGAGCTATCCAAGTTAAAAGGGCAGAATGTCCTCACTGAGAAATGCAATTTAGAAACCCAACAGCTTGAAAACAGCTGGAAAGGTTTGGGACTTCCTGGGGAGAAAAAAAATCACCTTTGGCTCAATGAGACGTGGAGGATTTCGGTCCCACAGTGGAAGTTTTTGGAGAAAGTTAGGACTAATGAAAATGGAGGATTAGAGTTTCAACTGTTTTGCAATCGTTGGCCTCGGTCCTTCAGACACTTTCACACATGCTTAACTTTATATGTGTGGTTAGCTTTGCTGACCTGAATGGGATTATTTACACGTGTAGATCCGAGGACATGCGTAAATGTTTACAGAGTGGCGTTCTGACCGTAGCATTTGTCACCAGAAGTGACGCCGTGTCAAGGTCCCACCCTGGGGCTCACAGAGATCCTTCGTGCTGGAAAAAAACCCCACAGCCAAAAGCTGGGAAATCCAGGAATTCAGATTCCTGAGCCCATCTTCAATCTGCTCTCACGTGAATGGGATCTTTTGTTGTGCCACATCAGGGCGCCGTGCCACCGACTCGATCTGGCTGCTGTTAAACGTGCACCTTTATGTGTTCCCACTCTATAGGAAGATGCTGCATGCCCGTATCTGAAGGATGTCAGGGCTGGGGGCTGGGAAAGGACACCTGGCCACCGGTGGGGCACGAGGCGTTCTCTCCCTGATGGTTCCCCTCCCTGATGGAAGCAGAGCATCAGAAGTGTTTCTTGGAGCACAGGAGCACGTTCTACCTGCTGTGATGTGATCTGCTGAGAGCCTCCGAAACGCCCATAAATCACCTCTGCAAACTGCGCCTCTAACATTTATCGGCTGGTTTCTGTCTGCAAGCCAAAGTGCCATTAGGCTGACTCACATTTTGGCATTTTGTGTTTGTATACAACAAGACAATGTTTGCAAGCAATGGGGAAAAAAAAAGAAAACACAAGAAAACCCTTCTTGGGCAGCACTGAGATCCCTGTGGGCCCAGCCCTGATCTGCAGTGTCCCCAAGGAGCAGAGCTCAGCACCTGCCCCTTCTTTTCTTTCCTTTCTCTTTCCCTTTCCCTTTCCTTTCCCTTTCTTTTCTTCTTCCTTTCCCCTCCCTTTTTCCTTTCTTTTCTCTTTCCCCTCTCCTTTCTTTTCTCTTTCTCTTTCTTTTCTCTTTCCTTTCCTTTTCCCTTTCCCTTTTTTTTTCCTTTCTTTTCCCTTTCCCTTTCAATTTCTTTTCCCTTTCCCTTTCAATTTCTCTTTCCTTTTCCTTTCCTTTTCTTTCCTTTTCTTTTCCTTTCTTTTCCTTTCTTTTCTTTCCCTTTCTTTTCCCTTTCAATTTCTCTTTCCCTTTTCTCTTTTCTTTTCTTTTCTTTTCTTTTCTTTTCTTTTCTTTTCTTTTCTTTTCTTTTCTTTTCTTTTCCCTTTTCCTTGTATTTTCCCTTTCCCTTCCTTTTTCTTTACCTTTCCTTTCCTTTTTCTTTCCCTTTTCTCTTCTTTTCTTTCCCTTTTCCCTGTCTTTTTCCTTTCCTTTCCTTACCACTCTGCAGGGCTGGCACCGTGGGCCAGAGCTGGGAGAAGAGCAGCATGTGGGGCGTGGGAAGGGGGAATGCAGCAGCCACCGAAGCGGAAACTCTCGGATGCAGATGTGCGTGGATAGCCAAAGAGCTGACAGTTTACTCTTCCTTCCTCCCACAGCGACATAACTGCAATGATTTTTTAATGACAGGTAGGGCAGTAGGTGGGCTTCTGGCTGGAAATCCTCCGTCCTGCTGAAAAACACCAGATTTAGGAGCAGCAACCATTAACCATGGCATTGAGAAGCATCGGGCAGCACCCTCACTGGGTCACCTGGAGGGGATGCTGACACTGCAGAAGGTCCCCCGGTGGCTGCAGGAGCAGATCTGGTGGCTGCTGCCGTGCTGCTGTGCTTTTTCCTGTTCCTCCCACTGCTACTCCCGCTAATATTAGCAGCACTAATTGCTCGTCGCATTCCATGCGTGTGCATGTTAGCGTTTCAGAGCGGCTAATCGTTGCGTTCTGTAATTAAACAGCCACTAATGAACGTGCTGCAAAAGGAGCAGCCTGTTGGGTCGCACCCTGGCTCCCTGCAGGGCGCCATTGGTCCTGCTCTGATGGAAGGCACCGAGCTGCCAGCTCCCCGTGCACGGCTGGCTGAGGAAAGGCAGGCACCCTTCACCCTTCCATGGGAAGTCATACGTGGAGAGCCATGGGGCTCCCTTCCCTCCCAACACTGAGAAGTGTTGGCCTCGTGCTCACCATGAGAAAAATCAACTTGCCTCTGCAGCATAGAAATAGAAACCATATCAACCTCATTGCAAAAAGCCACCGGGTTGGGTTGGAAGTGGATGGTCTTTAAGTCCCTTCCAGCACAAACCATTCTATGATACTTTCATCACTGAAATGCAGCAACGCTGCAGTGATGAGGTTACAGGTGGTAACCTTCCAATGGGAAAAATACAAAAATCTGGGGGGAAGCTTATTCTGGATTCCCTTATGGCAAGGAGCAGCCCATCCGCTCCATACACACCAGGGCAGGTGATGGAGACCTCGGGGTGTTCCATGGGCACCAAGGCAGTGGGACCATCGCCTTGTGCTGAGTGCCAGCAGTGCCACTGCCGAGCCCCGGGCTGCAGCACGGCAAGGCTGGGAGCAATGCTCGTGTTTTCCATCCAAGGGACGCGCCAGAGCTGCTGCCAGTGCTGTGTCTCAGGGGAATCAATTTTCATCCTGCCAGAAGCATTAATTTCTCATGATTCACATCTCTAAAGCAGCTTTGGAAAGAAAATGTGCTTTCGCTAGTCAGACCTTCACGCACGTCAAGATGCCACAGTTTTTTCCAGACTTTCCAAAGGAAGCCACGGCTGAGCGAGACATTCCTCCTCCTCCTCCAGCTTTCCTGCAACAACCCTTTCAGATCAGTGAGCTAGACAGATTGTTGGAAGGACACACAGACAGAGCTGGGCAGCAGGTCCCCAGGCAGGTCAGGCACCGACGCAGTGCTCCAGGGGCAGAAGCCACGGCCATGAAAGATGTTGGCTGCTCACACGTGTCCCTGGGCTTTGTGACAGGGCAGTAAGGGGAACCCTATGCTTGGGGGAGCCTCTGTGGGTTAGCACTCCTCCTCACCCCTGGGAAACAGACACAACCCCCGCTGTCTGCTTTCCCTGCCTACCCCTTCCTCACACCACAACAGTGAGAAAAACTAAGCAAGCACCCATGGGGAATGAGTTTGGAAAAGATCAGGATTTATTAGACAGGCTGATGTTCAAACTGACAGTTTCATTCAAATGCACATGATCTGGGCATCTACACAGGCCTGTACCCCAGCTACCCCACTCCCAACAGCATCTGCCCAGCACCCTCTCAGGACAGATGCCTGCAGCCCTGGTACTGGGGACACAGAGGCTTAGGGTTTCTAAGCAAAACACCAAGGTCTCCATACTCCCCCTTCCCAGAGCTCCCCTCATACAGCTGAGAGGGGCTGGGCTGACTGATCCCACATCTGGGACCGGCTCAGTGTCACCTGCCCCTCCAGCATGGGGCCAAGGCTGTCTCTGGCATTGAGCCATCGCTCTCACACGCAGTGCTGCGTGGGGCATTGCACAGGAACCCCAGTCTTCCCTACTGGGGAGAGACATTGGCCATCATGGAGGAGCCCCATCTGGGACCCTTATGCTCAGGGGGTGCACAGGGTGTGCGGATGGTGGAGAGAGGGGTGTAAATAGGAGAGAAGGCAATGAGCGCTGAAGACAAGCTGGAGCAAAAGGAAAAGGTCTGGGAGGAGGATGGGAGCATCCTGAGAGCAGAGTAATGCTGCCCTTGGGCCCAAGGCCATAGGGAGAGATTGGGCTCCTTATGGGGCCTGAGGCACCCCAGACTGAACCCACCAGCTCTGGAGGGACAAAGACCACAGAGAAAGAGATGGCACAATGCAGCACTTGCAAATAGAAAGTTTGCTTCTCTGTGCATTGCTTACCGTGACAACGACACACAGTGTGACAGCAGGAACAGCAACAACATCAGCACATTTCTGTCAGTGTTTCTACTCCATTAGCTCCTAAGAAAACCATGCAAATTCGCCTGGCCGAGGACAGTGAGAGGCGAGAAAGAGTGGGTGAGACAGAGAGGGACGATGATGAGCAATGGGATCGTGTAAAAGAAGGAAAAAGAAACAGAGTGAAGGGAGGCAGCAGCTCTGGGCAGGTTTGAGATCTCGCAGCACTGACTCATGAGTGCATCACTTCTCCCCAGGCTATCCTGGCTGCGTTCTCCAGCACCTCTCCTTGCCTTCACTCGTTACCTGCAGTCCCCTCCCATCAGACATGCCTCTTTCTACACCTGGACGTGGAGGTGCTTCATCGTAACCAGTCCAGCTTCAGTCCCACTGCCACGCAGAGGCAGGGAGCACAGGAAGTCCCTGGGTGGAGTCCCACAAGCCCACCACGGCTCAAGGGACCTCCTGACAGCACCCAGCCCCAGTGCCCAGGGACACGGAGCCCCATGGATCTTCTCTTCACCTACATCCCACGGGGCAAGGGAAGACAAGGGATGCTGCTCTTCACACCCTTCTCAACACAACAGAGCCTTCCATGTCCTTCATTCTCTTTCCCTCATCCATAGCCTTTGCCTTTTTCTTGCCTCACCTGGCACCTTCACGTCTTCTTGTTCCTAACAAAGGTAAGTCCTTCAGCACTGGAGCTTTCCTGGAGAGCAGCATTAGTGGTGGTCCATTGGCAGATTGCTGGAGTGCTCAAAGGCACCAATCTCCATCCAGGCCTGTCTCTTGGAGGCTTGCACTGGACTCAGTGCCAGCCATGATCCCCCAGCCTTCACTGCTGGGTTTCAAGGTCAGCTCCCAGGAGAACATCACCTTCTTGAAGCAGTGCTCACTCTCCCATGGCTGCTGGGACTGAGTGTCGACGCACAGAGATGAGCCAAGAAAATCATGGGTAATGTGGGTGAAGTCTGGAGAACAAGCCACAGAAACCTGCCTGGATCGTCCTGGGGAGAACAGGTCAGCAGAGGGGAAAAGAACACGGCTGGTGATCCTCCATTCCTGTTTCCCTTCACAGAGCACAAAAACATGGGGGTTTGACTCAAAGAAAACATTCAACGTGGACTGAAAAAGGCCTGCTGACACTCAGGCTTTGTTTGCCAGTAAGGATTTTTGAGTTTAATGGCAGCAGCAGGCACTAGTGCCTCGTCTCTGTGCTGACCTGGGAAGGAAGAGCATGCTCACAGCCCTGCAGGTTGCTGTGATTTGGGGTGCCATCCCTGTTCCCCCAGCACAATGAGGCTGTTTCCAGCAGCTCCTTTCCAGACCACTTCTTGCTCTGACATGGACTTGCAAATCTCATCACAACAACCCGTCTGGAGCCACGAATGCCCCTCCAAACACCCAGCAGGGGACCGAATCCCTTCGTATGGCTCACATCCAGGTGAAGGCTGCAGAATCAAGTTAAGCTCAGCTGTTACATGAAAAGAGAACTCCACCAGGCAACCTAAAAGTCTTGGAAGGAAAACCAGGATCAATATTTGCAGGGATTTGCAGGATGTTTGTGCTGTGCCCCAGGGCTCCTGCTGATGCCCCAGGTTTCTGTGTCACCGCTGTGCTCTCACGTCGTGCCCTCATTCTTGCTCCCTGCCAGCTTCACGTCTGCAGAGGTTGAAACTCCCGTTCGCCCATCTCGGCACCAGTGAAGAAGCATCTACAGTTCTATCTCACCACACATTTCTCATACTTACAGCCTAAACATTGCCTTCTACGCAAAAGAACAAAGATAAAATGTCAGGAATTCACAGTTTTTATTCTCTTTCTTATGCCCACCCATCTTCCCCTGCCATTGATGTCAATGACTCAAAGTCCTCATCGTACAGTAGCCTTTGCCAGTGTGGCACTCAAAGGGTTAACAAACCATGGCTTCTTGGACAGATAAGACATAAGCTCATTCACCGGTAGGAACACGAGGATGGTTACGGTACAGAACACCTTACGGTTTCTTGTAGCGATTCTTTGGGGTTTCGCCACAGCCGGTGACGTCGCAGGAGAGAACGTTGGGCTTCTTCCCCAAGCCAATGCTTCCCAGCAGATCGGGAAGCTCACGAGTGATGGCCTTCTCAATCTTCTCTAAATAGCACCCTCCCATGTAGGAACACTGCTGAGACAGCAGCTTAAAACCAGTGATGGGGTTGATGCCAAAGAAGTCCTTGTAAGCCTCGCGGTTGGGGAGGTCAAATTTGCTGACGTTGGTCTTCGCCAGAATGGACTTAAAAATAAAGAACTTGTCAGGATCTTCCACAATGTCTCTGAACACCAGTTCCCCATCGCTAAAGAAGGTCATTTTGTCCTTGTAGGTCTGCAGATAGCGATCGACCAACAGGGCGTGGATGCGCACCCGGATGGCGTGTTGGCGTATGAAGGCAATCTTATTTTCCATCCTGTTCTCAATCACCTGGTTGAGATCTTCCAGGAGCGATATCTCTTCTTTGAGGAACAGGTCTTTGTGGGTATCCGGGTGGTACTCGTGGGGCCAGAAGGAGCTGACGTACACCCTGGGCGGCTCCGTGACGTTGATCAGAGGAGCCAGGCTCCAGAACAAGGCTCCGTAGACCCTCATAAGCTCCTGGGTAGCCAGGCTGTCGGCTTTGTTCAGGATGATTCGGATCTGAGACTCACGGCCCTTCAGCTGGCGAAACAGCATCTCCAGCTCCAGGCCCACGTCCAGCTTCGTAGGGTCAAAGACAACAAAGATGAGATCAGCTCTGTCGATGAACCACTGGCACACGTCGTTGAATGGGTAACCTTGGGGAGAGGAAACAGAAATCCAGCAGAAATGGCCAGCAGGGGGGGAGTCCCTTCTGATTAGGGGATAGATAAACTTGTCTCACACGCTGCCTGGCTTAGACAAGGTGTGAGGCACAGAAGACCTCTCATGCAGCACAGAAACTGTTTCAGAAGTGCTAAAACACTTCAGAGCTTCTTGGCTGGAAAGCTCAATCCCGTGTCTGAACCTGTGTGCCTCCCTCAGCCTCACCTCTCCAAGCCTTTCTCTCCAGGGAGACCTCATAGTGGATTTCCAATACTTAAAGGGAGCTTATAAAAATGATCTAGACCAATTTTTTTTTAATAGTCTGATAGTGACAGGATGGAGGGAATGGCTTTTAACTAAAAGAGGTGAAATTTAGGTCAGATGTTGGTGGACGCTCTTTACTCAGAGGGCAGTGAAGCTCTGGCACAGGCTGCCCAGAGAAGTGAGGGTGCCCCATTCCTGGAGACTCCCAAGGCCATGGATGGACCCATGGGCAGACTGACTTCTCCAGCCCCCACAGTGTAGGAACAGACCCCTGCCATAGCCTAGGGCTCCTCCTCAGTGTGTGTCAGTCATCTTGGCTACCCTACATATAATAGCATCCTTCCTGGAGCCCTTTAGGTGAAGGCAGAACACCCCTACCTCGTTCTTGCTGCTTGCGGTTTTCAATGATGCCTGGTGTATCCACAAAGGTGACTCGCTCCAGGAGCTTGTGAGGCACCTCTATTCCAATCAGCTTCTCCAAGAAGTTCTGCCCGAACTTCTCCAGGGGCGAGAAGGAGCGTGCACTGTCAGCAGCCATCACGATGCCCTCGATGGTCTTCAGCTTGGGGCCATGCATGATGACGGTGAATTCAGAGGTGGTGGGTTCTGCCCCTGTCCAGCACAAGAGGAGCAGCAGAGATGTGAAATCCATGCCAGGCACTGGACATTGCAGGGACTGGCCCAGGACTAGGTGGGGATCTTGGAAACATCCCTTGCTTGACAAGAGACGTTGGGGGAACATGGGAATTGGGGCCATGACATTCTTGCCAAAGCTCTGGGGAACATAACACAACAGGGCTGTTTTCTGCAGGGACAGGTCCTTCTGGAGGTGGCATGGCTGGGAAGGGAGTCCTAGAGAAGCATTTTCCACTCAGCTCCCATGGTACAAGCTGACATGGGTGGGAGCAGAGATGATCAGGGAGGGCTTTTCTCTTGGGAGGCTGAGTGCATTGGCTCCTGGTGGGGAAGGATGGGGAGAAGATGGCGAGGTGCTCTTGCTATGACTGCACCCACTCAGGGTGGAGGGCTGAGGTGAGCAAGGTACCTGTATAGAGCTGGTAGGGAGTGTCGTCCAGCCCAAGGAGGTAGTTTATCATAGAGGATTTGCCAACGCTCCACGGTCCCAGGAATAGCACCATCGGCTTGGAAGTGATCTCCCCATCTGCAGAGAGGGGAAATAACAAGAGGAAGTGAAGAAACAATGGCTGTGGCTGCTGTGCGCCGTGCATTCCCTGCTGTAATGAGCATCCCATCTGAGCAGCACGGCGATGAAGTGCTCGGGGAGCCATCTGCTCTCCCACCACCAACTGCCACTGCTTGGTCACGCTGAGCCGTGGCACTGCCCAGCCAGCCCTGTGCTGGCACTGCAGCGACATCAAAGCCTGTCTGCCCTGCTCCAAGCTTTGGCCCTCAGACTATAGAGAATGGCTGGAAGGTCCTTTAGTTATGGTCTCGGCTCAGTTTGAGCTCAGTTGGAGTGAGCACAAAGCTGCAGGGGGTAGTTTTGGAGAGCAGGTATCACAAAGCACCAGACATGCAAGGGATGTAGCCATGCTGCAGTCAGGTAGATGCCTTGTGCAAAAGGAGCTGGGGTGTTTGAAGGGTGCAGGGCTCCAGCCCAGCACAGGGAAGGCGAGCTCAACCAACAGCCCCGTTCTGTGCTTGGAAAGATGGGAGGAGAATTAACCACAGACCCTATTCAATCCTGCAGTTTGCTGGGAGGCTCAGAGAGCACAGATGAAGGCTGCCATGGGGACCTGCTCCCACGTGTGATATCTGCCTAGGACCAATCCCTGCTCCAGAGAGTGCTGGGACTGATGGTACCATCAGCCCATGCCCACGCTGCCCAGCCCCACCAAGCATCTGTGATGCTGGGCACGGTGCTGCATGCACCCAGGCTGTGCCAGACCCCAGGCTGTGTCCAGGGAATGTGCTGCAAGCCCAAATCAGCACAGAAATGGAAGTGAAAACAGAAGGGTGAGCTCCCATTTCTGGCAACCTTCCTCATACCCTCTTCATTTCCAGAGACCACACTTCTCCATGCTGCCACCCAGAGAGGAGCGAGGAACCGCACCAGCAGGCAGAGCACCCATCTCCACATCAAGGGAGCCCCAGAGCCAACATGATGATGAGCTCTCACTTCCAATGGTGGTAGAGGGCACTGCGCAGCAGCTTGGCACCCAACTCATCCAACTGCACCCACAGCACCACTGGAGAAAAGGAACAGGCTGGGGACATCCTGCCAAGGGGCACAGTCTGTGGCTATGCAGCTTACCCCCTGTCCAGGACAGGGCATCCACAGTAGGACCAGCAGGACTGGCCCTGAGCCCTGCTTGCTCCATGAGCCATGGGGCTGCACCAGCCAGAGCCCTGCAGTGGGTGCACCGCCCCAGCCTGGCACAGTCAGTCCCAGCCCCTCCTGCCTTCTCTGCCAGCAAACACAGCCTGCCCACTTCTGCCTCCCTGGAACATTTGGGATCTGACTTTCTGTTCCCATGAGGGATAAAAACAAGTGTTGAAACCTTGGGCTTTTCTTATTAATTATTCCTCTGTGCCGCTGTATCGCTGCTCCTCTGTTCGCTTTCTGGCTTTAATTGGGTTTCGGATTATTATTGTGATTCTCCCCTGTGATGTTGTGCCAAAGGTTTGAGGCGGGTCCCCACGTGCTCTTTCGTAACAGGCTCCTGGCCAGGTGTGGCTGCATGCAGGCTGGAGCTAGCAAGCTCCAGCTCCACAGCATGGACCATTGGGTTCCTCCAGGTGCCATCCTCATGTGCCAGGGAGGCAAAGGGCTGTACCAAGGTAGGCAGCCCCTCTGCAGGTCACCCAGCCCCTCTCCTGCTTTGTTTTTGGAAGCTGCAGGGCCTGGAAAATGTCACCCCATGAACAGTCTCTCCTTGCTGCCTCTCTGGGCATGGGAACAGGGAGCAAAGTGCATCTCCCACCCTGTTGGCGCTGGCCTGGCCTGTTGTGTTCCCCACTCTCCCCTCCTGTACAGGTTTGCTATCACCTTGATGGGGCTGCCAGGGGAAAAAAGGGCTCAGGCTGCTGCCAGCTCCCCTGCACATGATGACAGCAGCTCCACCGTGCAGCTCTCTCCAGCCACCAAGTGGCTGCTCGCTTCCAGCCCAGCTCACACTGAACTCCGCACTCATCTCAGCTCATTCCAACTCATCCTGGTGACTTCTGCAAACCTCACACCAGTAGGTGATCAAGCCCTGCATGCAAGTGGGGGAACTCTTGTAGCCCTTTGCTTTTCATCCATGGCTCTGCTTAAATCACAGTAACCACTTATCTAAACTGATGGGTTTCTGGAGCACAAAACATGCTGAGAACCACAAAGCACCCAGTGAACAGAGCCAGAAGGGCTCCTCTCCCTCTGCAGGGACTGTGCTTGCCCTTAGCCCACATCCTGGAGCACTGTTGCCCCTGGAAGGGCTACTGCCCTGAAGGGAAGGGCAGAGAACTGCTTCTCTCTGTTATGGAGGGACCATTTTCTACAGCAGAGGCTTTTGGGGAAGTTTTGCGTTGCTTCCAAGGCCAGGATGCCCTCGGGAGGCAGCCCTGATGCTCTGGGGCTGGGATCCCCTCTCCTCACTCTTCAGCCCAACAGAAGGATGGCTCAGCCTGTAGGGCAAGCGTGACCCTTCCCAAGGCAAAGCAGAAGGACAAAACCTCCCTCCTCTCCTCGCTCAGGTTGCCTCAAGTGCCCCATCCTCAAACTGGGTGGGTTCAAACCCCTGGGCAGGCTCTTCCAGCATCACCCCTTACGCCCAGACACTGCCTGCCCTCTGTGCCAGGGCAGGAACAGTGCATGTGAACCCACAGCAGCCACAGGTGTGTGCACGACACACATACCCACGGATGCAGGGAAAGCCACACGTGGATTCTCACCTCCATGTCATGCATTCACCCCCACGTGTGCACACCCACGCAGGCAGCAGCGCGTACACATGTGTGCCTGCAGCCAGAGACGCAGCTAACGCAGCTACCCGACACGCCATTTATACCTGCACTGCTCCCCACCGCCTGCACGCTGGCATCACAGCGAGCCAGCAGCCTTTGGGCTGCACCAGGGCTCCGCCGCGTCGGGTACGGAGGAGCCCGTTTGTGCAGGACGGCAGGGCAGGGCACGAGTTGGGGTTTCCCTGCCGCTTTGCCGCAGTACATTGCAGCAGGGACGCAGGGGGTGGGCAGCGCTTCTCGGCCTCCCTCCCAGCTCCGCTCCCGCGGGTGTTCATGCCGCGGTCCGGGCGGCTCGGCTGGGCACGGCGCGGGCCAGCAGCCAGCTCCAGATCCCGGGAGGGCTGAGGCCGCCGCGCAGGGGCCGGGCGGTGTTACTGGGACAGCTGCTGCTGGGTCATCGGCTTAAACTGCAGCCATGGGGATCAAGGGGAGGCATTCGGGGAAGTTTCTGCACGTAGCGGAGCCAAGGGTGGGAGGAGATCACCCCGCACGGTGCGCTCCCTGCTCTGACCCACGGGTGTGAGATGCACCCGCAGGTCCACCACAAAAGCCTTTGGGTCGTGCATCGGGGAGCTCACGCCTTCCTGTTGTTTATGCGAGAGGGAAAGGTTTAAAAGTCCGGGGAGGTGAGGAGCGCTGCGGGCAGCGTGGTGCTGCTGAGCTCTGTGCTGGGTGATGTGGGACGGAGAGCGGCTGAACCGTGGCTCTGCTGGGGTGAGAGAAGGGGAAGGGCTGCTGAGGAGCTCAGGCAGCGCTGGCAGCATGCAGGGGACGGGCAGCGATACCAACCTGTGGCAGAGGAGCCCAGGGTGCGTCCGGGGTAAGCTGTTAGCAGGGGACACGGGGAGAGAGAAAAGGTACCGTGAGTCGAAGAAGGGATGCGGCTGCCTGGGTCTGGCCCGGGCCGGAGAGGGAGCTGAAGAGCGGCCCTGGCCTTCTCGTGGGTGGGACAAGCCAGCAGACGGCCACGTTTCCAGCAGGAAAGAAGGAGTTACAGTTTGTGAGCAACGAGACCCGCAGCTACCGGGACGAGATTCCAAACCCAGCCTGCCCTGCGCGCAGGCAGCACCGCCGACACGCTGCGCCCAAACCTGCCCCGCTCAGCTGCTGCCTTCCCTGGCAGCACTCACCAAGCCGACAGAGCCGTACAAGCCACGATCAGGACAACCAGCAGCCCAGACATGTGCCCCAACCACGTGGCAGTGCAAGTGCATCCATGCCTGGCGATGGCAGCTGCAGGCCGTTCCCCACGCAGGCGTGCTGCTTGGCACACGCACAGCAGTTAGGGGCTCTGGAGTGCACCACGGCCCTGCAGCAAGCTGCCCATCACCAGGCTGCAGGCTCAGCCTGGTGGCATGGCACAGCAGCCCAGCCGTCATCAAGCACACAAACAGAACCAGCAGAGCGGCGTCAGCCTGCATTGGGAGGGGTTGGGATGGGATGTCCCTGCTGTGAGCACAGCATGGGCGAATGCTCTGGGATGTGCTCAACACATCTCAGCCAGGCTCGTGGTGCCTGCTGTGGGTCCCTTAGGACAGGTAACATTTACTCAGCACCGCAGCAGGGAGACCCTCACTGGGGCCAACAAGGAGCAAAGCTAGAAGGAAAGCAGACAAAATGGAGGGCTGCCATGTAATGGAGGGGTGAAGGAGAGCGTCGCAGCACCCCCCTATATTGGCTTACACTTCCAAAGGTCAGGCATATTCCATGACACTGCTGCCCTACTGCTCACCCAGCTGTCCTGCTCTTCCCAGCCAGCTCAGCCTGCAGCTCTGTGCCCCATCTATGCTATAGGGGATTCCCTGCAGGACAGCTCAGGGCATATCAACTGGTTCACAGGGACCCCCCGCCCCAATGCCAGAAACCCCTTTAGATCATAGACAGGGCTAGGGCTTACCTCACCACACAACAGAAGGAGCTCAGAAGGCTCTCATCTCCATCCTCACCCACCTCACAAAGCCAAGGGAATCCCTCAGCCAACCCTCCAATTTATCTGCAGGCTGCTCTAATTACACTGCTAATGAGGGGTTGGGAAAAGCTGTATCAGTGGTTATAAAAGGCAAACTGCTGGGCTTGATGGGGTTGTTTGGGGGGCAGAACAAGCAGCTCTGATAGAGGGAGGGCTCTTATAGCCGTACCTGGCTGAGCTGGGGGCTGCAGGCAGTGTGGTGTCCCTATGCTAGGAAGCTGTGACTCCTGATTACTGGCTCTGGGTCACACCTATACAGCAGTGCATGGTGGGGTGTGCTGGGCACTTGTCAGCCTGCAGGATGCATTGGGGATTGTTCCTCGTGGGAAGGAGGAACAGGCTATGGAGTGGTGGGGTGAGACAAGGCTGTTGAGGAGCACCACTAGCTGCCCTGATGAGAGTTGCTCAGGAGCTGGGTTTGAGAGGGGCATTGGCTTATAAAACATGAGGTTTGGTGGGTGCCAGGGGCCCTCAGCAGGGGCTGTCAGTGCCTTCCCAGAAAGGAGCAGAGAGGTGCTGCTTGGCCATAGGATGGCTCTATGATCTGAGCATCTGATCTGAGATGTCCTGAGGAATGAAGCAACCTGTACACTGAGAGCTGGAGGCTGCATCCTCTGGAGGTGAGCAGCAAAGACAGGGTAGAAAGCTGAGAACCCACCACCTCCAGTGATCTCTTAAATGCAGCGCCCCACAGTGAGCTGGCAGCAGGTGCTGGCTGCTGTGACCCCCAAGCTGCCCTCCCTCGTGGCAAGCAGTGCGAGGCAGGCCCAGGCAGCACAAAGGCAGCGACACAGAGCTGGCTGCAAGAGCAGCAGTGCATGCCTCATGTTGTGTGAGCCCTACACCCACCCACCCCACAAAACCCACAAGTGAATGGTAGCCAGTGCCAGGGTGTGGGAGCAGGATTGGTGCTGAGGGCCCTACAGCCCCATCCCCACCCCATCCCGCTGTCCCCCATGGGTATCCTGTTCTTGCTGTTGCCTCTTGCTGGGTTGGGAGGTGTGCTGGCCTTCCTACAAAAGGTCAGAGGTCTGACACTGGCCTAGGAGTGGCATCTGGGCTATAATGGGGTCCCCTGTAAAAGAAGGGTCCTGCTCTCAGGGGATGTATCCCATGGGTTTGCCCATACAGGCGTGGGACCCATAAAGCTGTGGAAGGAAGGTCAGGGCCATTTGCAAGGTGCTCCTGTTGCACCAGGATGGGTGGGCATTGCTCCAGGGTGTGAGGGCAAAGCCCTGTGGGCAGCCAGGGTGGGAAGCAGAACCCTAGGGCTAGGAGGGACCCTGGCAGGAGGTTGATGCGAGTGTGCATTCAAGGCATGGGGATACATGGCTCCAGCTCGGGACAGGGCTTCAGCAGAGGTTTAACCTCAGTGCACCAGGGCCTCAGACTGGGCTGGAGCCAGTTGTCTGGACAATGTCCTCAGGATCACCAGAGACAATGTCAGCCTGTGGTTGTTCACATCAAATGGGTTAGAAGAGCCTCCAGATCTGTGAGCATCCTGGGGCTGGAGCTGCACTTGCCTCTTCTGGAGGGACATGTATACCACTGGGGCTCAGCCCAAGCCAATGTCCGTAGCCACAGGGACCTGCTCACCTGATCCAAAGTGCCTGTAGTTGCCAAGGGGTGGAAACTCTAACTCCCAGGATAAAAGAAGACCTGAGCTTGAGGGATACCCAGCCCACGTGGCTGTGTCCCATATGGAGCAGGAAGGGTGCCAGCTCCAGCCACCACCAGGAAGCTCAACCCCAGCCTTGAGAGGTCCTAAGCTTCCTTGCCAAGCCTGTCTTACTGGGCCGTGATCTCTGCTTGGCATGGGTACAGAGCATTGATGTTGAGCAGGTGGAGGACCCAAAGCAGGCAGAGTTCAATGTTCAGCCTACACAGATGGTCCTGACAGCAGATGAGCTAAGGCAGATGCAGGAATGCCCGCCTCTGGGTGCTGGGTTCACTAGGGCATGTCCTCCAAGCCCAGTGTGCTCATGGCCTTCTTGGAGAGCTGTAGAGGAAGCTAAGCCACCCAAGCCTTTCCATGATCTGCTCTCTGCTGCTGTTTGAATGCATCCCAATGACCTGACGGTGCCAGAGACCCGGGTGCCCACAGCATTACCTGTGATCTCATGCTGCCTCAGCTCATTGTATCTGTAGGATTGCTCCAGGGGCTTGATGGAGGAGTGGTAGATCTTCCTCAGCCGCTGCAGTACTCCTGGAGGAGCAAAAGCATGCATGTTGGTGACAGGCAAACCCCATCCACCCCTTCGCATCCCTTTTAGGTAAGATGCTGGACATTCCCTGCAGACCTTGAGGATGACTCAGCTGTAAATAAAGGGACGCATCTCACACTTGAAATCCTGTGCAAAATGATCCAAGTCACGCATCTTGAAGCCCCTACCCTGCTGATATTTGTGCTGCTCTTGTATTTGCCAACAACTGATGCAGGAACCTCCCTTGTTAATGCTGTTTAGCACTCAACACCCATAATCCCCAAAGCCCTCCACCACGGTGCCCAGGGACCTGGTGGCAGGCATTTCCCAGACATTTATCACTCCCTTTCTAGTCCTGACTGCCAAAGGGACCAGCAGAAGCAAGCCTGATAAGAATAAACCAGAATTCATAATCAGAACAAAAAATCAAAACCTTTTATTACAAGTTGCCCCAAGCTTCTCTGAGCAGCAGGGAGCAGCGTGGCTGGCTTGGGCCAATACACCACTCGCCAGCCCCCCAGTTGTACGTCTTTGTGTGCCCTCGTATGTCAACGTGGGTCCCCTCACCTGAGAAGTCATCTGCAGGTTTGTCTTCATTCAGCTTGAGGGTGTTCTCCAAGTGGGACCGGTCGCGCTTGGTGGGCTCGCTGGCATCCTCAACCTCTTCTGGAGGGAAAGACAGGGAGAACTGTTATGGTGGGGGCTGACGGCGGGGGACGACGTGGGCGCTCACACAAGCTGTGCTGGGGAGAGGCTGCTGGGGAGCACGCACATCCCGAACCCACCCTGCCCGGCACCCACAGCTTCGGCACACCGCTGGGTTTCTGTCTTGCAAATGTTCCTAAGGGGTTTGGTCAGAGCTGCCAGGGGAAGTGTTGTGGGCAACTGCTCCGCTCCGAGGAGGGGCAGCGAGGGAGAGGCGAGGGCTGGCGCCCATGGGGAATGCGAAGGACGTGCCTGGAAGGGGCTCTCGGGTGCTGGGGAGTGCGGGGTGGGAACTGCGGCACCTGCTGCCCGCGGGGCCCCTGCACAACCCGCTGCTCCCCGACAGCTGCGGCTCCCCGCACTTTGGGCACTGCTCTGCCTCTCTCCCTGTCCGCTCCTCAAAAATCACACGTCGAGCTGGAGATGGGAGGCTTTGCAAGGTTCTCTCCTGCTTCTCCACCTCTGCGTCCTGCCAGGCTGCAGCCCCCCATGGGCACGTGCTGTCCCTGCCTCCTTGACTCGGCAATGCATGGCAGGAGGTGGCCCTGGGCTCGTTCCCCAGTGTCCCCATGAAGGGGGACAGAGGTGTCCCCAGTCTGAATGCGCTAGCAGAGCCGGTACACCAAGGGCCCCGAGGGCTGTGCTACGGGGCAGCACCAAGCCCCATGCTGAGCCTCAGGCTGGGGTGCTGAGGAGGACCTTTTGACTTGCCAAGTAAAGCCACCGAGACCAAACTGGGTTTTCCTCTCGGCACAAACGTAAACTTTTTGAGCTTGAATGTTACAAGAAGGAAGCAAAAAAGAATCAGCTGGGTCCAAAGGTTGCTGCCTTACCTACGGGCCAAAGTCCGCGAGCATTTCTAGTAAAACATGGCAGGGGGGATCACTTTTCCTGAGCTAGCTGCCTTTGGCTGATTGGACACACCCTGCCCACGGCCAGGGCAACGCTTCGGCAGCTCAGCGGTCTGAATTAGCTCTTTGCATCTTCCCTACAAGGCAAGGGCTGAGGGCCAGTGGCTGATGGACACGGGGCCCACCAGCCTGGGCAGCGTCCTGCCTGTGTGCCAAGAGAGCCGGGTGAACTCTGCGGGCTGATAAATGTCCTCTAACAGCTTTGCAGCTGCTGAAAGGGATTGGAGGGAAGAGAGATTCTTATGTGTGTCTGCAGATGAGATGAGAAGTCATGGGCTTAAAGTGCAGTGAGGGAAATGTCGGCCAACCTCGGTATCACCGCAACGAGCGCTGACGTCTGCAGGCTCCCACCTCGCCATCGCTGCCCACCCGTGCAGCGGTTAAGGGCAGGCACAGGAAGCACAAGCATTAGGAGAGGGCCATGCATTAGGCGCAGTTTAATGTGCCAAGCTCAGCTCCGCCAGGTTTGATAGTAGGTCACTCTCGATGCCCTCTGCTCGCTATGTCACAGCACACGGAGAGAAAAAGACTCCAACCTATCTGGCTGCGCCGGGGCTCAGCGGCAGCGGGGCGGGCACTGGGGTTGGCTGGGTTCTCCATTTCTGCTAATGGTGCAGGGGGGTCTCCCACTGCTGCCGGGGGGTCTTCTGATGTTGGAGGGTTCTCCAGGGCTGCTGGTGAGATTTTGTCAGCTGTTGGTGGGTCTTCTTCTTCTTCTTCTGTTGCTGCTGCTTCTTCCACTGCTGTAGATGGGCCTTCTGCTGCTGCTGGGCTGCTGCTGCCAGAGCCAGGCTCCACGTCCCCGCAGGGTGGGTGATGGCAGCTGGCAGAGCCATCCCTTTGCTCTCCCTCACCTCCGGCTGCTGCTTTGCCATGGCTGTTTTCCCCTGAAGTCTCTTCCGTGTCAGCCCCTTCAGCTCCGTCCTCCAGCCCCTCTGTGCTGGCACCATCCTCCTCAGACTCGCCCTCCTCTGCAGACTTGCCCTCCTCCTCTGACTCTGCTTTGCCTTCATCTTCCTCAGACTCCCCCTGCTCGTCATCTTCCTCTGAGCTCTGCTCATCCTCTTCCTCTCCTCCCTCGGGAGCAGACACTCTTGGCTCCTTTCCCTCTGAGGCCACTTCCTTGGTGTCGGCCTCCTCCTCCTCCTCCTCCTCCTGGCCGCCATGTTGTGTTCCAGGCTCTGGGGCGGCCTCTCCCTCTGCTCCAGGGCCGCCCAACGTGGCGTCCTTCCCTGATGTCCCATCAGGCCCATCCTGGCCCTGCCCTGCAGCTTCGCTCAGGCCTCCCTTCAGCTCTTCAACCCTCTCGCCGCCTCCCTCTGTGGTTCTGAGCACAGAGGTGTTGGCAGCTCCACCATCATCCTCCTCCTTGGGGCTGCCATTGGCGGCCATCTCTTCCATGCGGGGCTGTGCAGCAGACAAGGGGCGTTGGGCGGCATGGCCGACATCTTCATCTAAACGATGAGAACAGCTCGGTCAGTCTCACCCACGCCCACCCGTGGCCATGGGGGACAAGAGAAGGCTTGGAGGCCATCACCAAGACTTTAACTCCTGCTAAAGCATCTCCGGTTCTGGCTCGCTGTCCTGGCCATAGCAAGAAGCTGGGCACAAAGAGGCGTCTGCGGGCAGAAGCGCTGATGCTGCCCGGATAGGGGATGTGTCCCCATGGCTGCACATCACAGCCACCCATGGCCATGCAGCTTGTGGGGTTGCTGCAGAAGCTCTACGTGGTGGTGAAGCGGCTCTGAGAGAGGACCCAGCTGTGTGGGGAGCTCTGAAAGCTGGGAGCGAGAAGCCTGGGGTGGTCGGCAGGCAGAAGGGTCCTCCCCAGCCCTGCGCAGCACGGCGGGCTCTGCCTGTCCAGTGCAGGGCCTGACCCCGCGGCAGGCATGGGGCTATTTATTGTGCATGTCCCTTCATTAGGAAAACATTTGCCACTCCGTGCAACTGGCTGGAACACAATGAATTTGTTCTGCGGGCCGGGAGCAGGCATCTGTATTTTCCATAGGCCTCCGACTGCAATTTAACATTAGTCAACGGATGCCAAAAATAAAATATCAACAGCTATACTGTCTCCGTTACAAACAGTTGCTGCTCGTCTAAATAATCCCCTGAAAACTCGAGTGCCTGCATACCAGGGAAGTGTTTCAGAGGAAAATAATGCCTTTGTACTCCAGCTGGCAAGCAGATGCCAACCGGGAGCAAGGCCACCGCTGCCCGGGCTGCAGTCACGGCCAGCAGCTCAAGCATGGCACACAGCATGGAGCCAGCCCTCTCTTGTAGCCTTGCACATGGCATCCCACACCTTTGTGCTGTGCCAGGGACCCACAGGACCCTGCTTGCCATGCCACCCACGATGACATGGGTGTTAAACCATCCTCCAAGCCACCCAAAGGGGAGAGCTGGCACGAGGTGTGCTCTGCTCATTTTGCGCCCCAAGGGTCCCCATGGCAGATGAGGACAGGGATATTCTCAGCATGGCCCCAAAATAGCCAACGAGCCAAAGGGTTGAGAGGGAAGTGCTGCTTCCAGGGCAGGTGTTTGGGGAGGGGTCAGGGCTGGTGAGGAGAGGCTAAGAGTATGCAGAGGAGACCTCACTGGGGATCTCTACGTGTCCCTTCTGAATGGATGCAGAGGACAGATGTGTCCCCTGGGCAGTGACATGCTGCATCCCCTGTGCCCAACTGTGGGCCACATACAGGGCACATGGAGAAAGGAAGTGTTCTCCACGTTCTCACACTGGGATATGGGCTTTATTTCCCGTGACCTTCATGGAATTACATAAAGCCCCTCTCCCTCTCCTTCTCTCTCCCGTTTACCCTACATGGTCTCCAAATCCATCGCAAGGCAAATTGTGCTGATCTGCAGATGGCCGGCTGGTGAGCACCGGGCAGCTAAATGGGCCGAAGGTTATGGGCTTAACACCCTCCTCCCGTCCTCTGCGGGCTAAAAATACATCCAGCAACTGTATAGTGGGGTCAGCAGCAGCTCAGCAGGGCACGGGCAGCAGCAGACCCTCACTCACAGGCACCCACTCATTCATCCCTGGCCTTTTGACCAAGGGTGACATCCTCAGCCAGGAGCTGTCCTGCAGCCCCAGCACCCCAGGATGGAGTGGGACAGCAGCGATGCATAAACCTGTTGTAAGGTGATATCAAGGCTCCCCTTCTTCATACCTTGCATTATGCCAAGCAGTGTGGAAGAGAAGATCTCGACCCACTCACTTTCAGAGTCCCTGGTTGGCATGGCTGGGAACACAGCCACCCTGTCCTCTGCTGTGACAGCAAGTTGTGGCACAACCACGGTGGAAATCCAGCAGTGGGATATGGGACACCGGTGCTGACACCACAACAGCCAACATGGGAAGCATGAGGATGGTTCCCCCATCCTACAGGTATGATGCACGCATCCCTTCCCCACTGCCGTGCCTTCCTCACTCCTTGCATGGGGCTGTATGGAGCAGTAATGCCAGAATGAACAGAGAGAACTTGCCTCTGTGAATGGCATCAGGGCTGGAGATAGCCAGGAGGGACAGATGGGCACAGGTGGCCCTGGGAAGGACATTCTCCCCCTCCAGCAGAAATAGGAGCCCCGAATGTGGGGACGGCGGTGCGTGGTGCTGCAGGGATGGCTTTTTGCACGCCTTCTTCCCCTGCCTGAATCTCAGCCCCAGCAGCATGCAGGGAGTTATTTCTGACGGTGGCTGTCTGGGGGATCAGCAGTTCTGCAGTGGGAGAGTGTCCTGGGAGGTGCAGAATGCCCCAGAGGGAACCAGATGCCCTTAGGGGTGCAGGGCCATGCACAAACCCTGGCTTTGCCTTTCCCCACTGCCTTGTGCTCAGCACTGGGGCTCCCTTCCTTGCTCACATTTTACACCGTGGGGGAAAGCGAAAAGCCAACGTTAACCAAGTGGAAAAGCCAGCATTAACCAAGGCAGCCTGGTTTCTCTTCTGTTCCTCAAGGCATGGGAACCCAACCCAAGGGAAAGCTCCAAAATGGGTACCAAAAGCCAGAGAGGGAACAGCTACCATCTCCCATGAGTGTGGCTTTCCCCCTGCATTCACAGTGGGGCTGGGGGGATCCCACACCCCGGGGTGCACATCTGATCTGGGAGCCGTGCCCATCCTGGTGGCAGGAGGAGTGACAGCAGTGACGGTGGCACTACCCGGGGGGACACGGGCACGAGGAGCTGCACAGGTTGAAAGGAAGCCAAGCCAGGTCCCAACTGCCAAAGCAGTATTTCTTGCCATCGCTATTTTAATGAGGCCTGGTCAAAGAGGTGTTCTGATCAAACGCACTCATCGACTTAGAGGAACGTCTTGCTGCTATGAAAGAAAGAGACACATGCGTTTTCCTTGTGGGGAATTTTTAGCAGACCCAAGGAAGCCCCTCGCCTGTCTCTCCTCTCCTTATTGAGCACAAGCGAGGCTGCACTGAACCCAAAATCTGTGCCCGGTCCTGACAAAGTCCTGCAATGGGCCAGGAATGTGGCCGGGCTCAGAGGAACCATCCAACGCCTCCTGGGATTCCCCCAGGAGACACCGGCCACACCACAGACCCACTGCAGACACCCCGTGTCACCCCACATCCCTGCCCAGCCTGCCCATGCCTCAGTTTCCCACTCCATGCACTCCCAGCAGCCCTGGGGCATTTTTCCAGCAGTTTTGCAGGAGAAATCGCAGTGTGAAAACTTCCTGCACACAGGAGATGTCTGATCTATGCAGATCACAGCAGGGACATAGGAAACAGATTTGTCAGGCTAACTTGACCTGGTTAGTGGAGGAGATTTCAAGTTTAGCTGGAAAAGAAAATTGGCTGTTGATTTCTATAAATAGTGGGGTAGGGCTGCATGATATTTTGATTAAGAAAGCAGGGTAAGGAAACCTCAACGATTAAAACCAGGCTCGGGGCTTGCTAAATATAGAGAGGAAGATGGGGAATGGTTTCTGTGGGGTGGTTTTCTGACTGCCTTCCCACAGGGGTGCTCACCCCAGGGTTCCAATTGGAGCCTTGGAGGAGAACCTGAGCCTGTGACCGCTGGCTTGCAGATGGCACAAAGATGGGGGAAGTGGGGAAGGAAGAAGTGAGATGGGAGCTTGGGGTCTGCAAGTGAGCAGCCAGCAAGAAACAGCTTGGATTTTGGTGCCAGATGATGCCTTGCCCCGCATGATCCCTAAACTTTTGGGATTGTTCAGATGGTGCTGAGCCCCAGCAGTGGGACAACAAGCCATATTCAGCTGGGTCCCTAAACCAGGGCTTTTCTATGGGTGCCAGCACCCAGCCTGGCTCAGAGTGCCCACCCGGAGACTCCCCAGCCCCTCCACCAGCCCCTGCCAGCACACGAGCTCACCAGCTTCCTCAGGCTATCACTTACAAGGGAAATGTCCCTGCAGCTTAAAATAGCCCAGCAGAGCCCTGCCAAGCTGCCAGCACCCACTGCCATGCAAAGAATGGGACGATTCTATGAGCAGTTCACTCACCCTCAGACCTACTGCCTGGGTCGGGATTTTGGACCCCACAGTGCAGCAGGCAGCATGCAGGTCTGCGAGCAGAGACATGAGGTTTCCTGTCCATCCACCCTGCCTGGATGGACGTCACCTACATGGCAGTAGGTGCTCCCACAGATGTGGGTCTGGTGGGACCAGGAGTCACATTGCACCACTGTGTCCAATATCTGCCTTGCTTTGCTCAGCCCATAACGTGGGAGAGAGTCAGGGTACCCCCAGGGATTGGGATCTCCACTGTACAAGGAGATGTGACAGGGATGTAGGTGGCACAAAGGACCGAGAGCTGTGGCATCCCACATTCCATGTCTCTGCACCAAACAGCAGTGGTGCCCACGGTTGTGCTGATGCTTGGCTGGGGTACAGTGACCCCACAGCTCCGGAGAAGCTCAGCGCCCTTGGAGGGCAGCTGGATGGGATGGAGGTGGGGGGAGCCTGGGATGGCAGAGCTGGGGTCACCAATGGGGTGGTGACACATGGAAGGTGAAGGAGCTCACCTCAAGGAGTCACATCCTGAGAGCTGGGGCCTGCCCTGAAGTGAGAGCCCATGTCAAATTGAGACATCCTGGGTGATGGGATCACCCTGAGATGCCATGAGGATGTGATGATGGAGCTCACCCTGAGGTGACACATCCCAGGCAGGGGGAAGACTGCAGGTGCTATGACCTGAGAGATGGGGAGCACCTCAAGGGTGGTAGAGCCCACCACAAACTGACACTTTCCAGATAGACATTTCCAGACAACACTTCTGAGGAGGGCTCCACCTCAAGGCTCCACCCTGGGTAATGGGGAATCACCCCAAGACGCCACAAGGACATGGTGACAGAGCCTGCCCCAAGGTGGCACATTCTGGACTGAGGCAGGATGGGGAGTCCCAGGGCACGGGGGTGGTGGCCATGCTTGCTGTCACAGGCAGAGCTCAGTGCCAGCCCCGTAACACCCTCGGCACTCACTGCAGAAAGGCACAAGTGTGCCAGGGTTTCCCTCAGCTCCTTGCCCAGCTGGAGGTGGGCAAGGTCCACGGCAGGGAGCTCTGCCAGACCCGGCCACGTGGGCCATGGGTCCTTCCCACCCTTGGGAGCAGTGACGGCCCCAGCAGCCCCAGGCATCACCAAACCAGCGTGAAGTAACAGCCTTCAAAATGGCAGCAACAGCCAGGATTGTGGGGTTTGTTGGCAGTCAGTGGGGAGCACATCCACGAGCCCGGCTCTGCCCAACCCATCTACCAGACCACCGTTCCCATGGAGCTGCCACTGCACCCCACAGCACCAGGGTGAGCCCAGCGCCAGCCAGGCTGCTCGCCGTGTCCTCCAGACACCCCCAAGGGGCCACCAGCCATGCCCAGAGAAGACCCCTCCGTCACCCATCCCCATCCACGGAGATCACCCCGCTGCCAGCAGCGCACATCCCTCACCCCAAACCCTTTTTATTCACCGGAACGGTCAAAGATGCCCTTAAAAGGCTAAAACTGCACTGGGCCGGGGGTGCAGGGCTGCAAGAAGGCAGCAGCTGTGGGTGCTGCCTGCGGGGCCGTGGCGGCGCGGGGGCCAGGCGGCCGCAGGAGCACAGTGTCCCCTTACACGGCTGTTTCCATACTTAGCTGCCCCCCGGCAGCGCGGCTGCCTGAGCCCGGCCAGGCAGCGAACCGGCCCAAATTAACTCAAGGGCAAACAAGGGTAACGGCGGTGCCCCAGGGGACGCCACAGGACCGGGTGAGCAGCAGGGTCTGGAGGTTACCCCAACGCCTGCCAGATCCTCGGTGGGTGAAGGTCTCGTGCTCGGTGCCCTGGAGCCCAGCAGTCCCCACGCAGGGGCTGCAGCCTGGCAGCACCGAGCTGTGCCAGCACCCATGGGTGACGCTGCGCCCAGCACCCCCGGCTGCAGCACAGCCCCTGTGCTCACATTGAGTGCGGAGCAGGGACCCCAACCCACGTCCCTGCCAGCCCCTCCTGACCACACACCGCCTCAGCTCTTCATGTCCCTACAAGTTTTAAGGGTGCCAGCACGTCCTGCTGGGGGCACCCACGTTGGGCTCACCAGGCACCCACAGCCCTCTAGGCACCCACAGCCCCATGGGCACTCATAGCACCGTGCACGCCCCCAGCCCTGCTGGGCACCCAGAACTCCATGGGCACATGAAGCCCTATAGGAACCCCCAATCCTTTGTGCACCCACAGCCTCATAAAGCACCAACAGCCCCAACGAGCAACTACAAACCCATTGGGCACCCACAGCCCCATAGGCACTCACAGCTTCTTGGGCACCTACAACCCCATAAAACACCCACAGCCCCTCGGGTACCTGCCGTGCCGAGGAGCAGGAGCGAAGCCACGCAGCAGCACAGCAGGTTGAGGCGCTTCATGGTGGCTGCCAGGAGCGCTCCGCCGCTCGCCGCCCCTATTTATACGCCGGGCCGGGGGCCGGGCTGCCGGCTGTCGGCTCAGCCCTGCGCACACGCCGCTGCCGCCGCTCCCGGGGGCCGGCAGCCGGGGACGGAGCGGCAGCGCTGCGGTGCTGATGTCGGGGAGGGGTTGGCACGGCGGCACTGCCGGTGGGGTCACACCGTCCCACACCTAGAGACGTCCCTAAAGATGGGCACAGCCGCTGCGCAGCGCCCCGGGGACATCGGAGGATCGGAACCCTGCTCGCAAAGGCTGAAAGCGCAGAGGGTGGCGGGGATGGGGATAACGGTGCGGAGCCGAGGGCACAGCGGGGATGCAGGGTCCATGCCAGGCGAACCCTAACCTTAACTCAAACCCAAGCATGTGAGCGGGAGATGGAGGGACCCACAGCCTAAGCGGTGGCCCCCAAAAAGCATGGGAGGAGACGGCTGTCCTCAAAGCCCAGGAGAGACGCGGCGATCCCAATCAGCCACCTGCTGGGGCACACCGGGTGGGCACAGAAATCCTCGCTCCTCCCACCGTCCAGCTGAGAGCTGTCATCAGAACCGGCCCCACAGCCCCCCCAGCACGGTGCAGGTGAGCCAGGCGTTGTCCTGCGCACCCTGGACCCGGACCGACCCCCCCCAGAGCCCACAGAAGAAACGCTGGGCCAGAGCTTCTAAAAAACAAAGTACAAACTTTATTTTGTTTCTTTACAAAGGCACAAGCCTCTTTTTTTTTTTTTCACTTTCTTAACAAAATATAATAGCTTCTCAATGAACACAAAGACCTGAAAATCGTAAAAAAAAAAAAAAAAAAACCAAAAAAAAATTAAAAAACAATGAAAGAAACCGAGAGAGAAACAGCTGTGGCTGGGGAGGAACCTACCAAATACCAACAAGGCTCTACACACGACTGGCCTAAACCCTACAGCCAAACGGGGGGGGTGGGGGGGGACAGAAGTGGGGCCCCCCTGCCCACAACAAAAAGTAGAAGCGACACAATCACGAAAACAGAAAAGCTCTTCTGACCTGACGAACCCCGCAAACCGGATTAAGTGCTTAAAGGAAGGAGGGGAGCAGGAAGGGGAGCGCTGGGGGTGGCTGCTGCAAAAGGAGCCCAGGATCCCCATGGCACCGATGCTGCGGTCACCGAGTGTGCCCCCCCCTCTTCCCCCCATGCTTAAAAATGAAACTTTCAAACAGAATGAAAAAAAAAAAAAAAAAAAAACAACAAGGAAAAGGAATCAAAAATCCCAACCCCCCGCCTGCAGCATCCCAAGGGAAACCCGGCTGGCTTTGGTTCTGCAGGGTTTCCTGCAGGTGGGGGGAAGTTTGGTGGCACCAGGAGGGGCTCCGACCCCCCCCAGCCCTAAGCCCCTTCCTGAAGCTGCTCAGCTGCACCCCGCTTCCAGTTCTGTCCCCCCTCGCTGCCCCCCCCCGCCCCAGCCCCCCCTTCTCCCCGCTCGCTGGGAACTGAGCACTGAACGGCGCCCGCTTCCAGCGTTACAGTATTGGAAAAAGGTCATAAAAGAGACCCAAATCGCGACGTATTTTTTAAAAATTTCAGCATATTCTCTGACGTTTCCCCCCCTCTCCCTGCTCCCCGGTCCCGGCTGCAGGCCAGGGGGTGTCAGGGCAGCTCTCCTTCCCCCAAAGGGTCTTCTTTGCTCTGGTCCATGGAGTCACTGTCGTTGCCCTCCGTGTCGGAGGCGGTGTCGGAGGCGGAGGGCTCTGGGCAGGCACGTGCGGGCGTCACGATGACGGCACGCCGCTGCTCCTCTTCCTGCAGCTGCTTCTCCTGCGTGCCCTCGATGTGTTGGATGGCCTGATGGGGACAAACAAAGGAGTCAGGCGATGAATCCCCCCGAAGGCTTTAGGGCTCCCCACACGCACACACCCCCCGCGGCGCTCTCTACCTGAACGATGGTGTCCAGGTTTTGCCGGGACGTGGAGACTGTGTTGATGACCGAGGACGGGCCCATGGTGACCACGGTGACATGATGGGAGGGAGGCGGTGCTGGTACGATCACAGTGGGGTGGTGGGTGGGTGCTGGGGGACCGTGTGCTGGCAGGAGCTGGGGACAAAGCAAACCCTTCCATGAGCCCCCGGGACACCCAGCACGGGGTGATGGCTCCTTCCCAAACTCCTCACCCAGAGCCGTGAGCCTCAGGGCAGCAGCCCCCCAAGGGGAACCCCAATGCAACCTCGCTGTCCCCACACCATTGGGGATGTCGTGCCACTCTGTGCCCAACTCAAACATGAGGTAACAGGCTTGGAGCAAGGAGAGAACCAGGAAAGAGAACCAGCCCCTGCACCTGGGCAAGGCAGTGATGAGGAGAGCACCGAGACCACAGAGCTTCACCAGCAACTCAGCTGCTGCCCACCTGCCCTGCACAGACACACGCTAAACTGTGGCCAGCATTGCTTTGGCAGAGCAAGAAGCACAAGGCTGAACTCAAAGAACTGCCCATACTCTGAAGCTTTGGACTTTCAAGAGGCTGAAGCCAAACCCCAGCAGCCCATGCACACTAATTCTGATCGGCCCGACCCGCTCAGCTGGGAATGCACCGCACCCCTCGGAGCTCCTCGTTAAAACAGCGGATGCAAAGAACCGCCCTAGCAGGAGGCTAAGGAAAGTTCACCTAAAAATAGGCTGCACTTCCCCGGGAGGGATCCTGCGGGGAACATCCCTGCAGAAGCCAGACTGCAGAGGAAGCCAAGCTTTGTCACTGCCTTTTAAGCTCCCCACACTGGGATCCTCCAACTCAAGGAACCGCTCCAAACCGGGGCAGCAGCGCAGTGCAGAGGAAAGCACAAGCAGCACGCTGGCACCAGACTTGTCTGCCTCCTGCCCCAGGCACAGGGAGCACAGCCTGGAGCTGAGCATGCAGTGCAGCACTGCACCAACCCCTTCTCTACTCCCAAAAGGAAGGAGTTTTGTTGGGACATCACTGTGCGTACAGCACAGCCTCCCATTGATGCCGAGAGCATCACTGACCTGCCCTAACCTCTGTACATGATTGCCTTGCTCATCCCACAGGAAAGCTGCAGGGCAGGAGGGGCAGTGGGGTGCACCCACACTCACCTGGGTTCGGATCTGCTGCTCCCGCTCCAGCTTCTCCTGGTGCAGCAACCTCACCTGCTCCTGCTGCTGCTGGAGCTGCACCTGCTGAGCAATCACCTTCAGCTTCTCAGGGTACATGTGGGCCTCCAGCGAGCGAACCTGGCACAAAGAGGGACCCAGTGAGCTGTGGGGCAGCCCATGCCTTGCACACACCCCGACGCAAGCTGGGCTATGCCTGTCTGCAAGGTCATGGTGTGGGCAAAGTGGGGACAGAGAGTAGGGCTGATCGTGGGGCCATTCCTTACTCAGTGGGTGGTGAGGCACTGGCACTGCTGCCCAGAGCTGTGGGTGCCCCACTCCTGGAGATGACGAGGCCATGGATGGGCCCTGACTGAGCTGGAGGGAGCACAGCCCACAGCACGGAACCAGATGGGCTGTGAGGTCCCCTCCAACCATCCTATGGCTCTATGGTTCCATCATCCCCACGGCACAGCCCGCTAGAGGGCGAGCCCTCCCCACACACAGCCATGGCCGTGCTGGCCCCACAGCCTCACCTGCTCCTCCAGCATCATGCGGACCGAGCGCTCCTTGTCCAGCTGCTGCCGGAGCTCAATCATTTCTCGCCGCAGGTCCTCGGCCTTCTCATCCTCCCAGATGTCTGGTGAGCCGATGCCCTCATCTTTGTCCTCCGCTCGTCGCCGCTTTGGGGAGGAACCGCTGAACTCCTGCCAAAGGGATGCGGTGTCAGAATACAGGGGTTCCCCTCAATCTGGACCAGGGGTGGGCAGTGCCACTCTCATGGCCATCCCCAATGTCCCCCCAAGAGCTGAGAGCTCCTGGGGAGGGCGAAACCCCCACGGCCATCCCAACATGAGGGTCGCAAAGAGAAACGTCTCCTGGGGATATGGACAGCATATGGAGCCAATGCCTCCATCCACAACCATGGCTGCGTGAAACATCTCCACCCTGCAGTTATTAGGACGGGGTCTCACTCAGATCCCAAGGAGAAGCAGTGGTGCTCTGAGCCCATTCAAAGTTGTGGCCATCCCTTCCCAGTACACACAGCACCATCCCCTCCCAGCGCCCAGGGGCAGCACCTGGATGAACCGCTTGAGCTGGGTGTTCTGCTGTAGTAGCCGGGTCTTCTCCTGCTCCAGGGAGAAGATGTACTCAGCTGTCTGCTGGAGGATGGCCGCCTGCGGAGAAAGCCATGGGCACGGTGAGGCAGCACAGCCCGACTCTGAGCCAGGACCCAGCCCCGCTCCCACCCAGCATCTCTACTGGAGCTCCCCGCGAGCGGCACACGCAGCACAGCCTGCAGTCCCTCCTCCCAGCACAGCTCACCCAACGCGTCACCCACTGCTGTGGTGCCAGCTCCCCGCTCACCTTGCTGAGCTTCTCCCCGTCCGTGTGCGGGATGAGGGTTTTCAGCGACTGGAAGCCAGCATTGATGCTCTGCATTCGCCTTCTCTCGTTGCTGTTGGCGATCTCCCTGCGTATCCGTCGCTCCTGGTCCCGCTGGGTCTCCGGAGTCAGTGGGATGTTGGCCAGGCTGTGAGAGGAGCTCCACGTTAGGGCTGGGGGGACGCACCGCAACAAAACCCATCCCCAGGCAGGATGGGGAGCGGCTAGATGGAAGCTAGCGGGGGATAACTCTACACCCACAAGGCAGCTCTGGAATGCTGGCAGGAAGGGGACCAGCAGACGCCTCACCAGCAAAGCGGCATCTCCGCGGTGCCGCGCCGTGCCCACGTGCTGGCTGGGACCGCCGGTTGCGTCCCCGCGGGGCCACCGGCGTGTGTGGCCCTGAGAAGGGAGGCTCTCTCCGCCCTGCTGATGGCTTCCAGCTGACAGCTCCCGGCGGAGAAGCCCCCGTCCCGCCCAAAGCCGCAGCTCCCGCCTGCTTCCTGCGCGCCCTCGCCCCGCAGCTGGGCTGGGAAACGCCCCAGGGATGGGGGTCTGGCTCTGCGCCCTGCTCGGCTCCTATGGGGGCCCTGAGTCAGTATGGCGAGCTGAAATCCCAGCACAATGGGCAACGGGTGTGCAGAACGAAGGGGATCTGCAGCGGGAGGGGAAGGGGCAGCACATGGCCCTGCATCTCGTCCGACCCCACGCAGAGGTTGGCGATGTGGTGGTACCAAGCTCTGGGTGACAGCCGGGCACACAGTGACGCACACTGCAGCCCATCCCCGTGGCACAGCCATGGCCACACGGTGCCGCAGACAAAACAGCAGGGGCAGGCAGCCGGCACGGGGCAGATAAGAAGTGCGGCGCAGCGCTGGCTCCACACGGTGCATTAAGATGTATCCAGGTGCCAAGTGGTGCCAAAGGCCAGCGGCACGGCACGGTGAGCCTGCCAAGGGGTCCCAGGGACACCGACCCCCTCCCACGGCCCAACGATGGCTGTGGGGTCACCAAGGCCAGCACCCAGCTGCAGCCCCACACGGGGAAGCAGCCAGCCCGCCAGAGCCAGGCAGCATGGAAGCAGCTTCTGAAATGGAAAAGGAAGAGGAAGAGCCAGCTTCCTCGGTGGCGGACCTCTCGTAACCTTCCCCAGCTGCTCTTCCTGGGGAAAGACTTAAAAAGTGACAGCTAAATACGGAAAGGAGAAAAAAGAAATGCCTCGATTCAGAAGCTGCCACGCCAGGAGTGGGTGCTCACCCCACGTGGTGCCCGGCCACTGCCCACCTGTAACTGGCCACAGTGCACAGCACAGCCAAGCGGGACATGCTGGCAGCTCTTCTGGATGCTCACACCACAAAGCCAGGGCAGGCAAAGCCCTGGAGTGTCCACAGCTCCATCTCTGCACCACAGCACATGTGGACACAAGGTGAAGGCTAGGCAAGTAGAACTGATCCCTCCCTCCCTGGCTGTGCAGAGGCACCGTGGTGCAACCCAGCAGGACGTCGTGCTCACCTGGACCTCAAGGGAAACAAAACTGCAGAGGGTCAGAGCCAGCTGACCATCCTGATCACAGGGACACTGTGTGTGCGCTCATGGGCATGGAGGGCATCCCTGAGCACCCCGAGCTCTTAGCGGGGTGCTTCTAAGCTCCCTGAGCTCTCAGGCATGGCATCCCTGGGATTCCCCAAGCTGGCAGGCGATGCACCGAGCTCACAGGCAGAGTGCACCTGGGCTTCCCAGACTGCAGGAAGGGCAGCACGTCCCTAAGTTCACCCCCAAAGAGGCCACCCCCAAACCTTCTGAGCTGAAAGGGATCCCCAGGGCTCCCCAAGCTCGCAGGCAGGGCAAGGTGTCCCCGAGGTCAGCGGCACGGTGCACCCAGCTCCCCATGTTTACAGGCCGGGCGTCCCTGAGCTCGCAGCTACGGCATCCCCAGGGCTTCCCAAGCTCACAGGCGAGGCAGGGTGACTCCGGGCCTGCAGGCTCGCTGCTCCCGAGCTCCCCGCGCCTGCAGGCGGGGCGCGCCGGGGTTCCCCACGCCCGCAGCGAGGGCAGGATGACACGGAGCTCAGCCGGGCGGCCCCGAGCAGCCCGAGCTCACACGCAGGGCGGCCCCGAGCTCGCAGGCAGGGCTTCCCCGGCACCCTCCGAGCCCCCGGGCGGCGCAGGCCGCCGCCGAGCTCCCACGCCGGACGCCCCCAGGCCGGCCGTCGGGTGGCAGCGCACGGCGCCGGGCCTGCAGGGCGCACACGAGCCGGGCGGCCCCGAGCACGCGGCACGCCGCCGCCGGCCACGCTCGCGGCCCCGGGCCGGGCGCTCGGAAGCCGGCCGCCCTCCCGTCTCGCGGCCCGGCTCGGCGCAGCACGCGGTGCCGGGCCCGGCGGCTCCGCTCCCTCGGCCCCACGGGCGGGGCGGGGCCGCCCCGCGCTACGAGCGGGCCGCGAGGATCCGGGCGCGCCCCGCGGGCCTCCGCCGAGCCGCGCGGGGACCCGGCGGGACGTCGCGGCCCCACCCGCGGCCGAGGGCGGAGCGCCGCCGGGCATCCCCTGCCTGCCGGCCCGCGGCCCGCGCTCGCTTTGTGCCGCGGCGTGGCCCGGCGGGGCCTAGCGCCGCTCCCGCCGCACTACATGTCCCGGCAGCCCCGGGGCCGGCCCGCCTCCTCCGGGAGGGCTGCAGAGTCACGGCCAGGCCCGGCAGTAAACACACCCCCCCGCCGCACGCCCCCCGGCAGCGCCCCCCGTTCCCGGCGGGCCGCTCCCGCCTCCCCCCCCATCTCCCTTCCCCGCGCCCCCGAAGCCCGGCGCCGTGAGATCCGCCCCCCCCTCCTCCCTCCCCCCTGCTGCGGGGCGGTGCGGGGCCGCGGGGCCGCATGGCCGCTGTCGGGGCCCGGCCGCACGGCCCCATGTGCGCGGCGGCGGCGGCGGCCCCGGGAGCGGCACCCACGTGCGGGGAGAGAGGAGAAGCGGGGATCGGGGTGGGGGGAGCGGTGCGGAGGGGGGAGGGGGGAAGAGGACGAGGGGGGGGGAGGGATAAAGCATAAAATAAAGAAGAACGGAGGGAAAAAAAAAAATGTTATCTTCAAAGGTTTAAAAAATAATAATAATAAACGCGTTTAAAAAAAAAAATAAAATAAAAGGTGGAAATGAATAAAGCGCTGCGGAATACCGCTCGCCCCCACCTGCACAGCCCGCCGATGACCTCCTTCTCGGATTTCCTGAAGTGCTGCAGGGAGGGCATCTTCTGTGCGGGCACCACGAAGTACTCCATGCCGGGCGGGGGGCAGCGGAGGGCTGCGGGGCGCCGCTGGGCGCGGGGCCGGGCGCGGAGCGACTGCGCCGGGGCTGGAGCGGGCGTGTGTGTGTGTGTGCGTGTGTCTCAAGGCGGGAAACAGCTGGTGCGAGCACAGCAGCGCTCCCTCCCCCGGCGGCGCCGCCTCCGCCAGCCACCGGCCCATGTAAACAAAGGACGGCGCGGGATTCGGCGGGGAACGGGGCGGAGGGGGGGAGCGCGGGGCCGGAGGGGCGGCGGGGCGCCGCTGGTTGCGGGCGGGCGGCTCCCCGCAGCGCCCCGTCTGTGCCCGAGCCGCGGGGTGCCGGCCCGGCCGGTCCCGTGCCGTGCCGTCCCGTCCGAGCCCGGCCCGTTCCGCCCCGTCCTCTCCCTGGCCTATCCTATCTCGTCCCGTTCCGACCCGTTCGATCCCTGTCCGATCCCATCTGATCCTACGCTACCCCTTCCCACCCCCGCGCTGTCCCCGCGCTGTCCCCATCCCGACCTGTGCCACCCCGGCTGACCCCGCTCAGCCCATCCCGTTCCACCCCGTCCCATCCCGTCCTGTCCCATCCCAACCTGTCCCACCCCCATCCCACCCCATCCGATCCCGCCCTGTCCCCACCCCAACCTGTGCCACCCGCTCTTGTCCCTGTTCCGTCCCATCCTGTGCCATCCCTTCTGATCCTACCCCATCCCTTCCCATCCCCATCCTGTCCCATGCTATCCTCATAGCACCCCTCCAACCTGTCCTCATTCCATCCTGTCCCCATCCCATCCTGCGCCACCCCATCCAACCCAGTCCCATTCCATCCTATCCTACCCATGCCCTGTCCTATCTCATCCCACTCCGTTCTGTTCTATCCCCATATCATCCACATTCTGTCTTCTCACCATCCCATCTGATCCTACTCCATCCTATCCTGTCCTATATGGTCTTCTCCCATTCCCATCCCCACCCCATCTGATCTTGTCCCCATCTCAACCTGTGCCATCCCTCCCAACCCTAATCCACCCCATCTCACCCCATCCCATTCCACTCTGTTCTGTCCTGTTTTCTCCCATCCCATCCCATCCCATCCCATCCCATCCATCTCTGTCCACCCTGTCCTGTCACCATCCCACCCCACCTGTCCCTGCCCCATCCCAACCCGTGCCATCCCACCTGTTCCTGTCCCCACCCTGTTGTGTCCCATCCCTATTTCTCCCCATGTGACATTGTCCTCATCCTGTCCTGTCTCCATCCCATTCTGTGCTATCCCATTTCATTTTGTTCCCTTCTATCCCATCCCGTTCTGTCTCATCCCATTCCATTTTGTTCTACCCCTATTCTACCCCTATCCTATCCCATCCCACCCTACCCTCATTCCATCCTGTGCCATCCCCTTTGATCATAATCCATCCTGTCCTGCCCTGTCCCCACCCCATCCTGTGCAACCCCCTCTCAAGCTATTTCATCCCATTCTGTTCTCATCCCATTCTGTTCTATCATTGCCTCATCCCACCCTGTACTGTCCCCATCCCATCCTGTGCTATCCCATCTAATCCTAATCCATCCCTTCCCATTCCCATCCTGTCCTGTCCCATCCCTATCCCATCCTGTTCCATTCCATCCTATCCTATCCCTGTCCTATCTCATCCCATCCTGTACCATCCCACCCCATCTGATCCTATCCCTGCCCTGTCCCCATCCCATCTGATCCCATTCAATCTGATGCTTTCCTCATCCAGCCCTGTCCCATCCCATCTCGCTCTGTTCCATTCCATCCCATCCTGTCTCATCCCATTCCATTCTATCCCTGTCCCATCTTCTCCCTGTCCCCATCCCAATCTGTGCCATCCCATGCCATCCTATCCCATTCTTCCCATGCCATCCTATCCCATTCTTCCCATGCCATCCTATCCCACCTTGCCCTGTCCCCACCCCATTCCGTGCCACCCCGTCCAACTCAGCTCCATTCCATCTTATCCCATCCTGTCCTATACCCATCCACTGCCTGACCCTATTCTATCCCTTCCTGTCCTCACTCTATCCTATCCCCACCTCATTCCGTGCCACCCCCTCTGACCCAATTCCCATCTCACCCCATCCCATTCCACTCCATTCCGCCCTGTCCTGCCTTATCCCATTCAATCCCGTCCCCACCCCACCCATCCCACCCCACCCCCATAGGGGCCGCAGAGCTCACAGCCCCCACGGGGCTCACCTATAGGGCCGTGCTCTCGGCCCGGACCCCCCCGGCTGCTCCCCCCGAGGCGGGTGACGGCAGCCCTCCCCCCGCGCACCCCGGGACGGAGACCCGGAGCCCCACGGTGGGCGGCACGGGGACAGAAGGTGACAGCTGCCGGCGTGCCGGGCGGGGCGCGGCCGTTCGGCGGACGTCCCCGGGGGTCCGACGGTTCCGCCGCGGGGCTGCGCCCGGAGCTCAGCTTCACCGCCCACTCGTGACCCCCCCACGCGTGACACGGGGCGGCGCGCCCCACCCGCGGGCAGCCCACATCCTGCCCCCGGAAGGAGCCCCGGGGACACCCCCCGCCCTCCTCCCTTCCCCCGCGGGGGGTGACGTCATAGGGAGGCCCTGCCAGGCGTGACGTCACGGAGCGGCGCTGCCGTCACGCGGGACATTCGCCCCCCCCTAAAAAATACATCCAAGTTAACGAAGAGCGGAGGTTTGGAGGGGGGGAGGAGGTTTCCATCACCCCACGCGTGACACCCCGCGGTGACCCCACGCAGCGTGCGGGAGAGATCCGTGTGCGGGTGCGTGGGGTGGGGGATCCGTCCTCCTGCCACCCGTGGGTTTTTCTTTTTTTTTCCCCCCTCTATCCCCCCCCTCCCCACGCGGGGCGGGCCCAGGCATGCGCTCAGCTCCCACCCGCGAATGGCTGCCGGGGCGGCGGCGCGGCGGGGCCGGTCCTAGCGGGGAGCGCGGCGGGGCGGCCATAAATCACGGCGGGCAGAGCCCCCGCCCCGCCCCGGGGCTGCCGGGGGGGGCCCCGCCGCCACCACCACCGCCACCAACACCGACACCGCCGCCGCCGGTCCCGGTCCCCGCGCAGATGTGGCGGAGCCGCCCGGTGTCCCATCGGCGGGGGGGTCCGCTCCGCCGCACCCCGCGCTGAGCCGCCCGCAGGTAGGGATGGGGATGGGTCCCCAGATGGGTGACAGCTCCGCCTCGGGGGATGGATGGGTGAGGGGGG